ATGTTGCGCCGTCTTGTTGAAACCACATCTCCTGGACATCATGGTTATTCAATTCAGGAGTGAAAGAGTTAGTAATCATAGCTCTATACCGATCACCATTGACTGTAATGTTCTGGCCATCATCGTTTTTGAAGAAATACGGACCAATGATTCCACCAGCCCATAAAGCGCACCAAACAGTCAGTTTTTCTGGATGTAACGGTGTTTCGACATACACTTGAGGATTAGCTACGTTCCAAATGCGGCAGTTTTGTTTGTTGACGTAGCCATTCAACCAGAAGTGCGCTTTATCGCTAACAAAATTCGCTTATGAAAATCGAGAACAACGGCAATCCCGTTTTGGACCCATTCGACGAATCTACGCCTTACTTGATGATCGTTTGGCTTCAACCAAGATCCTTCCGCAAAATCTTCCATAAAGTGGATGGACACAGATCCAATTCCTGTGCTCGATGGCGGATGGACTCATTCGGGTATTCCTCAATGCTACGCTCTACAGCTTCTTCTGAACGCTGTACGCTTCTGTATCAATAAGAGTAAATGTGGTGCGAAAACGTTCGATGGTTAATCGAATTAACTGCTCTGATGGACAATTTTGTCGACAATAAAATGGACGTAGTGCGCGATACGTATTCCGCACAGAACAATTATTTTCGAAATAAAATTGTACTATTTGCAAGCGTTGTTCAGGCGTGAGTCTATTCATGATGAATTACTAAACCAAACTGAGAATAAATCACTTGACAGCTGTTAAATCGGTCGCCATCTTGAACAGTAATGCCAACTTAAAGTTCTATACATCGAAAAAAAAACACCCATTACAAGTAAATATATATATGTACTTCATTCTCTTTGAGTAAAAAAGTTCGTTGTTTTTATTTCTTTATTTTTTCATATTTCATATTCTAGATGTGCTTCTCAACCTTCCAGGACGCTTGCATAATATCAGTTACATTAGTGCATTAATACGTCGTTATTATTTTTCTACTTCACGAACCATTGAACCAAACGTAAGTCATTGTCTGAATCAAACTCATCTTCCGATTTTATCAGATCTGCATGTCGAAAGCAGAAGGCATTTTATTATCCCCTGATCCATTGGTTGAAAGCTATTTGGAAGCGAAAACTCTAATCTGATATTTGAAAGGATTAGATTTTTCGGATGAGCTGCAAAATTGTCAACCAGAAGCAATATTTTTCTAATCTGATGTTTTAGTTTTTCATCCTAATCCTTTAAATAATTATAAAAAAATGCTGAAGTCATCCAGGCTCTCTGGTTTGACTTATAAATGACAGGTACATTTGTCATATATTTTCATATTAACCAATAACAAGAAGTTTGCATTTTTCGCTTCCTGTCATATTTGCACAAACCCAAACGGTGTACCTCAACTCCGACTGCATCTCACCCAAACACTTTTCTCCCCTAAATTTAAGGGTACGATCTGTAATTTTGTGCAATACTGGGCCACTTATCCTCTAACCAGTTCAGCACAGCTTGTCTGTAAACATTTCCTCCTACGCCAGAAATTTTTCCGACGTTTATGTTGTGACGAGTTTAAAATGTTTGTACTTATTGCAATATTTTCGGATCTTCGAACTTGAAATCATCGGAAAAGAGCTTTATCTACATCTGAACGTACAGGATTTCAATTTTTTTTTAATTCTGTCCGATTCACAGTTACTTCCGCCTTACCGATGCCACTCTCAATACTTCTGCTACTACTTACTACTACTATGCTTTTACAATTAAAGACTTGCGCCGATAAATTAAAAACACTGTGTCGGTTAAAAATGGAACTTAATAGGGAGCATTTTCGTGGACTAACTCAACAACAATGCATCGATGAACTTAATTCGACTTTTTGGAGTTAAAGCACCATCTAGGACTACTGTTTATCGCTAATTTTCGGACTTCACTCATGGTCGTAGTTTTCTTAAGGATGAATTTCGTGCAGGTCGTCCAAAATCGGAGGTTGTCCAAGAAAACATTGATTGAAACTGATTTTGCAGGATCGTCATGTGACTTACCATGAGATTGAAGCATCTTTGGGTATTAGTGGGACCAGCATACATACAATTTTGCATGATATCGTGACAGGTGATAAATCATGGATCTATGGATCTGAACCCGAAAGTAAGCAGCAGTCAACTGTGTGGGTCTTTCAGAAATGGTAGCCTGTTTTTTCAGGAAAACTAGCCACGTTGCAACTGTTTTTTTGGTGAAAGGTAATACAGTGAATTTTGAATGGTACACAACCATTTGTTTGCCGAAAGTCTTGGAAAAAATTAGAAACACCAACCGAATCACTCTCCACGACGACAATGATACCTTTTTGAGCCTTAAAAACGTTAATTTCATGAACCATCCACTACACAGTCCTGATTTAGCACTTAATGACTTCTTTTTATTCCCATACATTAAAAATAAATTACGTGCAACGATTTTTTACAGCAAAAGAAGCGATTGATGCGTTTGTAAAGCATGTTTTGAAGGGGCCCGAATCGATGTGGGAAAAGTGCTTTGATGATTTATTGAGAAACAATAAAGTCATATTTGTTGGTAGCTTATAGTTTGTTATTACAAATTCCGAAATAGCCCTCGCACAAGCTTTAAGTTTGGGGCGTAAACTGAATAGAGCAATGGGCCCAGAAACAAACCCTGAGGCATCCCATGGATATTGAGTATTAAGTCAGTCACCTTTTCCGTGACAGCAAATGCTTTCTGTAAATTAACAAATAACTCTAAGACAATTTATTTTTGATCCACTAATATTCGGAAAAACGTACTGAAATTTATCAAAAGCAATATTATCTTTTAAAAATATAGTCGTTCGCCGTTTCAGTTTTGGCTTTTGAATTGGACGTGGTGTATTGTATAGACTGATTATAATTCTATATTAATAAAGCTTGTGTGTTGCGGCTTTCATAACCCAAGACAAACTGCTGTTTTGTGAAATAAAATGTGACACCAACAAAAATGGCACAGCTATCTTTAATTTTTAGATACACCCTGATTTTGTAAATGTTGCACTTTAGACAATGTAACTCGGTTATCGAAAAAGAGAAAACTTTTAATACATAGATTCTAGCAATGTATGATGCCTTTCAACATTTTCTTTTTTTATTTCCATAACTGTCGTTTACTGATAAAGCAGAGCTGTCACACTTTTTTTATATTTTTTTATGCTCATTACCTACCTGAATTATTGCCCAATTTATATAATTTTATGAACCCTAAATTTGTAATTTCTTAGCGGCATCTTCCGTTAGATTATTCCGCACCATTTAGGAACAGATTTTACTTAAAAAGAAACACATTTTGTAATAAAAAAAATTTATTTGCATATATACGTATACGTATTTGATAAATACATACAGGGACTGCTGATAAATAGTTTGTACAATAAAACGGAATCGGTTGGTACTAAAAAATTCCACCAAATATATTTACTTGACCCGCCAATGTCATAATCATTTTGACGTTTGGTGTGCAACTATGTTCTAAATATTATAGATCTATTTACAAATATTAATCAATACACATAATTTAATGAATGAGATTTTAATTTCCGAATAAATTGTTTTATTTGCTAAAATCAAAAATATCTTTTTAAAAAATTTATAATACAAATGTTATGCTGTATCGGTAACAAACAATTCTAAAAAAGACTTAATCATTCCTAATAAACAGATTATAATAGAAAAATTGTTTCGAGTTTTATTTTTTAAACGTTACCGACAATTTTTTTAGCAAATGTGAAGAAAATATAGTACATAATATACAATTATTTACAAAAACAATTGACTAGATATAACAACAACTTAGAAGATTAACGTCTAAATTCAGTGAAAAACGCTATGGGCGATTCGCGTTTAGGATTTTCCCGCATTTTTTGCCCCTCTACCTACAAGGCGTCCCATATGTATGGTTGCTGAACCAAGATAAAATATAGAACTTGTTTTCAGCTGGGTGGTATTTCGAAAAACATTACTTCATGTGATTAATCGGTTATGTGTTAAAAAAATCCATTTTACTAGGTGGTCTTAACAATTCGATGCGTATCAAAGTTGTGTTTTTAATAATAATAATAATAAAAAGAAATTTTCAACATATCAATTATTCTCTGCTTGTTGTATATAATAATATATACATACATTTTATCCATTATTTTTAGAAATAGCATAGCACTTCGCAACAAATGATATTCTCTATTTTAAATGTTAATATATAGTACTCACCAACAGTAAAATTAAAATTAATGAACGAAAACTTCCAAATCAGAAAATTTGAAATAATATACTGAGTAAATTTGAAATTTATTTCAATGTTTTTTCTTCTTCATGTTCTCTACTCTTTTCTACATTTTATTTTTATACAGTGTCACTATTATTGTCCGCGTCAAATGGAAATATTTTTATTAATAAGTTATGGCAAATTTGGCAAAATAATAAGTAGATCATTTTAAGCTCATTTTTGATTTAAAATTTTGAAACTATATTAACTTTGCCTCAACCTTGACGATTTTTATAGGTGCACTTGAAGATTTTCTTTGAAATCTAATTAGATTTATAATTATTTAAATAAAGTGTATCACAAAAAAGTTAAATCGGCACAACTTCAAAAAATGAAGTTTGTCCGGGTTGTATAAAACTGAAAAAGCAACAACTTTTGTCAATATAAGGTTACAAACTATCCCTCGAATCAAAATTTGTCCAAACTTAATAAAAAATGTTCCAGTATATACGTTTTTCTATCACTTATAAAATCACCGAGTAGGTAGGGTCAAACACGGGAAAGTTCCGTACATTTACGTTACATTTAAACATGCATTTGCAGTCACAGCGTTACAGGTAGTAAAATGTTTTTAAATTAATTTAACAATTTTGCTATTTTCGGTGTGTTTCGTCAAAATTGTTTCTATTTTTCATTTTCTCCATATACGAAAATGAATATTATGATAAATTATCTGCCGTACCACGATGTGAATTTAGTTCGCCTAAGCTACTTCCAAATCTGACGAGTCATCTTCGCTAAATTGATGTTGAGGTAGAATTCTATGCGTTTCGACGTTTGGTCTGGTAGAGTCTTCTTCTTGAATTTTGCGCAATCGTTCCTGTTCCTCTCGTTTTTGTTTTCGCCATTTGGCCCTTCTATTTTTAAACCAAACCTGTAACAATAAAAATTTCGTTTAAATGCCTGTGTGTTTAAATGAAATTGCATAATATAAAATTTATAATGCGTGCTTTTGTAAGATATCTTATTGCATAACACAAAATAAAATCCTTAAAACTCTATTTAAATAAATAATTACAGAATGCACACTGAAACGTTTTAAACGCAAATAAATCCGATTGAAATTATATTAAAATTTGAACAATCTAAACTTATCTTTAAAATAATACAGAACAAAATCAATGAAATACATTCACACAACTTAAGAAATCACGCTGACATGCAGTTACGGAATGCTAGAGTAAATAAAGAATTGCAAAATAAAATAAGTGCAGCATCAAATACATACAACCTACTTACTAACATTGTTGAAAATTTTTGTTAAAAAGTTAAAAAATATTTATACAACGAAATAATACATTTTATTAAGTGCTTGCAAAACTCGAACTTATTATACGAGAATGTTATTAGATAATTCAGTTAAAATGCTTTCAGTAACAATGCTTAATGCATTGTTTAGAAAGTTACCTTAATTCATGTCTAGATAACATAATAGTGTATTACAATATAATTATAATATGTATATGTAGTGTCTGACTGAATAAAGGATTATTTAAAAAAATTACAATGTTAACTCTAACTAAAGTAAATTCATTAACATTAATCATATTATATGTAAATTTATACCAATAAGTGTAACTTCTTTTAATCTTTCTTTAAAAATATTTTGTAAATAAAACTGATTTCAAGATGTAGAGATTTTTTTTAAATTTCCTTACAATAGAAAGACGAGTTTATTAGAATAATAATTATACATGCTTATAATCATAGAGATGGGCAGACAATTGAGATATTAATTATTCTAAGATTAAGTGAATATAAACTTATATAGAAGAAAGAAAAACATGAAAATAAATAAATTGCAATAAGTGTCATTATTTTTAAAAAATCGACTATTTGCAATACAACTAGAATTTTAAATTTTAGTTATCATGTTCAGCGTAGTCAGATGAACTATGTTCGTTGAAGGTCAGATACATAATAGGGACCATACACATTATTTTCGACCACGTTATCAGCTTCTCAAATTATTTGTTCTCTTTCACAAGTTCGAAGCACTTACTCTATCTTTCACAATCCATTGTCTTTATTCCCTCTTGATATGCCTTGTTACAAACTTTTTTATTTGCGCATATACCAACAGTGACGTGGCGACAGGCGAAATACTGGTTATCATTTCATACAAATTTACAATCTCTAGTATATCTTTTTGAAATTGCTTCTTATTTAAAGTAAGCTAGTGAACGATGTTTTTTTTGCTGCTGCCAGATAATTTATGTAGAACAAATGTCAAAAACTGTCACAATATAATAAAAAGTACGTTTTGCAATAGTATTCAGAAAAAATGATTACGTTAGCAATGACACCAAACGTATTCTTATATAGCATTTGCTGATGTCATCGTTATGACATATCATCAATTTTTTCTTGCTATATCATCGCACCAGGTTAAATATAAGAACCCGACTAACGGCAACAGAAAATCGGAGAAACTAATTTGCTAGTGATGGTTTCAACACTTTCTATTAGCTTCTGTACTGACCACCCACAGATACCGCCACACGCTTCTTTTTCAAATTGACGATTACAAATCCCATTGTGTAGGGTGGACTAAAACTTCCGCCATTTAATATTTAATTCCACGAGAAAGCCACCGCCTAAGTTAAAAGCGGCCGAGGCAATTGATGTAAAATTTAAGAGGTCCTAATCCACTTAAGGGCCTTTGAGGATTGGAGATGTTACATCCCAAAGTCTATAAAACTTTCTTCTGGTTTACCGCAAATCTTAAAAAGGGTTGGCATTGAAAAACTATGCTATTCTAAAAGTTAACTGGGACAAAGTGTGTGAGTATTTAAAATCTGGGAATAAAATTAATAGAGTTTCAAAAAAATGACGTTCAAAAGTGTGACTTGTTCGACTTTTTGTTTAATGCGTTATTTAGAATGGGATAGTTTATTAGTAATGCAGACATATCAGTCTTTTTACATGCCAGTCTTACAATAATAAGATTTATATAATATTTATAATATTATATAAGATAATTAGAATTTAATAAAATACTAAAGTACATATCATATATAGCACATTATATTTTGTCTGAAGCATTTAATGCAGCGGAACATATTAATTATTCTTCCATTGAAGATTACGTATTTTATCTGTTAGAGCAAATGAATTATTGCAATGAAGTTATTGAAATGATTATAAAAGTTATTCATAACCAGAATCTAGTTTCGCGAGCGAATTGAAAAAAGGCCTCATATTTTCTTCTCCGAGTCTCAAAATACTAGAACTATTTTTTTTACCAATTCTAATTTTTTATATTCAGCTATATAACTGAAAATTGTTATATACCGTATTTTTATAAGAAATAAGCGAAACATTGTTGTTTAACAGTGTTGCAAGTAAAATTAATTAATAATAATTAAAGACATTTGCAACTAATTAACAAAACAAAATTGAATATTTGAGTTTTCTCAAAATAAAGCCTATGACTATATTATTATTAATATAATGATTTGAGACTCAGGGGTAAGATGACGAAGCGACTAAGATGACTAACTTTCGTTATAAATTCTAAAATGTAATAATTCTTCATGAAACTTATACGGATATCTAGGAACAAGTTTCAGAACTAAATTTTATACTTGCCTTGGTGCTGCAGTCTGCAGATCGACAGTTATTTAACATTTGCCGTTTGAACAGCTCCGGTTATAATTTTTGTGCTCTTAAAAATAGTGTTTTATGGTATCACAACGTAAGTATCTGAATATTAATTAATCTGTATAGCGAAAACAAGGTTTAAGGCAAAATATTGTCTTGTTGTTTGCCAAAAATAATAGATTTTGAATTAGTTTTCGCCTTTTTAATTCTACGTGATAGTGGCGGGTAAGATGGCGACAACGTATTTTTGTAAACGAATTTTGTACAGTAATTGGTTCTGTGGCTGGGAGTGGCAGGATTAATATAGAGGCAGCCGTCAATGAGGTCTTAGAAGGCAAATCTGTCAACAGTGTAGCAGAACGGTTTTCAATTCCTGAAGCGATGTTAAGAAGATACGTCAATAAGAAAAGAAATGGACAAGATTTACCTATTCATGGTGGAAGATTCAGAGGCACCTTTTCGGAAGAACAATCTAGAGATCTTTATAATTACATAAAAATTGTAAATGAACGTGCCTTTGGACTTACATTTCTTCAACTGAGAGGAATAGCATATGAATATGCGGAAAGAAACGAAATTCCCCATCGTTTCATGACTGAAAAAGTTGAAATGTTGAAAGAAAAAGTGGAAAATGTAAACCGTCAAAAATTTACAATAAGTGATCAGTGCAACGAGAAAAAAAAGAGAGTTTCAGTGGAAGAAATAAAACTACTTCGAAGAGCTTTTAGAAACAAGACCATTACTAAAAAGAAAAAGATTACAGCAAGAATTATAACGTCTACGCCGGTAAAAAGACGAGCTTCAAGAAAAAGAAAATCTTGCCAAAAAAAAAGAATAAACGAGAAAAAGAAACAGAGAGCTGAAAAATCAAAGGAAACTTAACGAACAGAAAATTAAAACTCGGAAAAAACATGAAGAAAGAAAGAGTGAATGTGAAGTCATATTGTGTCAGGGATGTGAAGGGACGTACCAAGATCCACCAACGGAGGAGTGGATTCAATGCTCGTCCTGCCAGCTGTGGTGGCATAAGGCGTGCAATAATTTTGAAGAAATAAATTACTTGGTCTGTGACTTCTGTTAATTCGTCATCTTATCCTCATCCATTCGCCAACTTATCCGACATGTTGGGTAAGATGACGAATTTGCATTTTTTTTTGAAACTATACATTTTAAATATTTTGAGCTTGCTGGATGTAATGATACTGTTTATTTTTGATAAGGAAGTTCCTAAGATTTTGTTATGAGAAAGTTTTGTTAGAATTTATAATAAATAACTAATAATATATACGTTTTTTCTTAACCTCGTCATCTTACGCGGTTTTCCCCTATAGATATGTCTAAGTGCAAATCATGGGTGAATATCTATTGTTAATGAAAAAAAAGAAACAAAAATGAATTGCATATTCTCGAGATGTGCCTGTTATGAATTTGCGCCCTACCTAAACGTATAGTTATAGATAAAAATGAAGATTAATAACTACATACTTATTTTTAAATGCAGAAAATTTGACAAAAACATGGAAATGTAGAGAACGGAATATAATTATGGTTAGAGTTGCACGGTAACTAAAAGTAAAAATGGAACATACCAATCATAAAGGCACGGTTTTCAGCGGTAGACAGGTGGCCTAAAATTATTTAAATTGGAACCATATCTTTAATATTCATATATTAATATCTAATTGTACTTATTTCTACCAATTTCAATATATAGTTTTACAGTTATTTCGAGCTTTAGACGATGTAAAGGTATTCTTTCTTGGAGAAAAATTCAGTCAATACCTATATGTATTGAAATGTAAATTTGTTTCGTTTTGAATTATTGTCACTACTTATAAAGAATTGCTTTGAAGCATAAGCAAATTAGTTGTCAAGGTTTTTGTCAAGTTTAGTAGTAATAACTAAGATGTTTCGGCGCTAAATTTGTTTTTACTTTGATAAAATATATTTTTTACTCTGAACAACAGCATATTTTTAAATTAAGAATACTTAAGAATAATGATTGACCTTTCAGTACACCTTTTTGAGACGGAAACTTATAAACATACCGGGTGTCTCATAGAGGGTAACAAGGTACGATACGCCACCAGAAAAAAGAAGTTTCTAAGTAAATCGACGAAGAGAAAATGTTGAATATTATATTAGAGTTTCCAAAATAGTCAGTAGGGGGAGTAATGGATATGGATTTTTAAAACTTGGTTTGTACCAAAACTTCTAATATTAACTTCTAAGATTAACCATAGTTTTGGTTAGTTAGTAACAGATAAATTA